AACATTCAGAGATGGACTTACACACTTGCTTTACTTCTCTCGGGATAACTTTGTCGGAGATGAAATGCCGGGTTGCTAGCGAAGCTCCAAATGCTATCCAGACCACCAACAGGTCCCGCATGCCACAGCCGCTCTATCACGTGATGCATACTGCTCCGACGTGGTGAGGTGAGTTACGGCGTGTTGCAAGTTTGTGAGGTGCTTTTAATGGATAATGGATATTTAATGGATCGGATTACATTTTTTTTTTTTCTCCGATATCCGATCCAGTAATTTAGGTCAGTATCGGACCGATACGATACGTAATATCGGATCGGTCCATCTCTACTGGAAACCCTGCATCACTGGCAGTATAAAAGCTGGGTGTAGCCACTGTTGTCACTTATTTTCTTCGAAAGCGTTTTTGTCATCACCATCTTAATATTTTGAAACTGAACTTGTTATTCACGATTCATTAGCAAATGAGCATAAACTGGAGAATCCACCAGTCCTTTTAGATGGGCCGTATTTTACAAAATGAACTTTATTCACTGTGACCCAAAATGACGGAGCCTCTAAACCTGAGGTGTCAAACTCATTTTACATTGCGGGACACATACAGCCCACTTTGATCTTAAGTGGGCCGGACGAGTGAAACTCCGCCTTCCTGTCAGTGTAAAGAAATTCCATGTCCGTTTTTCTACACGATAACGAAAAGGCTCCTGCGACAAAGAAAGAAATCTGTCTTGACTCTTTGGACTTAAATTGTAAGAAATAAATGTGTAAAATTACAAAACAAGTTCTGTTAGCTCATTGCCCAGACTGTCCTTTTTTTCAGCTGTAGTCGTAAAACAATGTCTTCAGTAGAAAGTGGAAAGCAGAAACTATTCTGTCATTTGATTATTTATTGTTTAATTACTTTGTGTATTATGAATGGCTACAAGGGAGGGTTTTATCAATAGGAAAAGCTGCAAAAATTATGAAAATACAGTTAAAAGTCCAAAATGTCTGCTTGTGCTTGTTTGTGGTGAGCAGCAGATCAAACAAGTTAAGAATTATAAGAATTATAAATGGCTTCAAGTGCACATTCAGGACTTTTAGACTCATTTAGACACTGAGCCACTGCTCTGTGCTACATGCAAATATTCCCACATCTCTGCAGTTCAAAGACACTTTGTATATAGTTTATTTTATGTAATATTTAGTATTATAGATTAAGTTACTATAAAGGAGGTATTTTTATGCATTTTCTCCTACTATGGAGAACACACATGAGGTTTAAGGCCTGGACATGTTTGACATCTTTTATCCTCCACGGTGGAAAATGGCTCAAAATAAAAACTGGAATCACCTTAGGCAGCTCCTAATTTAATAAAATCTGCAATCAGCTTTGCAGTCTCCAATATCACTGAAATGCACCTTGATGATGCTCATTTTACATTTTGCTCCTTTCTTCACTTCTTCCCGACACTTTTCAGTTTACTTCTGTATACCTGGCCTGTATGCCTATACTGGCTGGCTTCAGAACGTCTGCACCCCTTTCTTGTTTCACATAAAGGTTTGCATGTGATTGGCCGGATGGTGTGCCCATCAAAACAAAGTCCCACTCCTTCCTGGATTCTCAGCAGGGCTGAAGAGTCGGCTCGCACATACTAATGGGCCATTAATAATTGACATATGAAATTATCTCACTCGCCTGATACAATTATATCCGGCCCACGGGCCATATGTTTGACACCGCTGCTCTAAACTCATCAGGAAAGTGTTTACTGCTGAGAGCAGTTTTACCTCAGATTTCTACAGATTAGATTTTCTTCATTTTTGAGACTCGGAAGCTTTTATGCTCTCTGTGCTGTGTACTGCTATTAGATTATTTGAAGTGTCTTATTAAAGAAGCTTAAAGGCTAGGTTCTCACAGAAATTCTGGAGTCATAAGTATCTTCTCTCTAATCTTTCTGTGATTTCTAACTAGATTTATGGATGTTTACTTGAGGGAGCATGTTTGAGGTGGATAATGACATCTTTGGTAAATGTGACACTGAATCCAAAAGCATGCGTGT